AAAAAAAAAAAATAAAACAACAGATGACAATATTTTTCATGATACAAAAATGTTAACCCTGTGCAGTACTGCATAGTATTAAATGCATAATTTAAAAAATATTATTACAATAAAAGAATTCTAATGAAAATTTATTATACTATATCAGTACTTTGCAAATGGGATTCATTATTTATATACATTTATTGATACTAAATATTGTATCAATATATTTTCATTATTTGTAAAATTTATAATACTTGGCTAATAATTCTTATTCAATTACTAATAAAAGATAGTATAGCATTATTGAATTTTTTAATATAATTTAAATGACCACTATAAATATAACTGATTTGAATTATGATTTGTACAAGTTTATAGAACATATAAAATATTTCTTCTTCAATTTTATATAATGTTCCATAATATATGTATATTGCAGAATATGGATATTTTTTTACAGCTTTCAAAGATTGCAGAATATGTATACATTTTTAAAGAATTATCTTTGAATAAGAGATTGCATTTACTTTCATAAAGTAGTGTAGCATTTTTCTTATTCTTAAAAAATTGAAATAGTTATATTTTAATAATATATATTTAAGAAATTATTTCAACTTGCAAGTGGTTCTTCTTGATGTTGATCTTTATCTTTCTTCTTTTTCTTTTTCTTTTTTTCTTCTTTTATCGGCGATTCCTATTAATCATAATAATAAAATATTTTATTTTTATAAATATTAAATATGAAAATTAAATATAAATCATTTTACCTCAGTTGCAGCTTCTACTACCATAGATTCATCAGCTTCAGATTCTGTCCTTTCTTTTTTCTTCTTTTTTTTCTTTTCTTTTTTATCTTTCTTCTTCTCTTTTGGTGATGTTAATTCTGATTCGTCAATTTTTTCTTCTTTTATTGAAACCTCTGTTGTAGATTGTGAAACTAATTCTTCCCATTTTCGTTTCTTAGATACAGGATCAGTAACTCCATTTTCTTCAGTCTAATTAATATATAAAACTTAAGTAAATTAATTTTAATAACTAAACATACATAAAAAAAAATAAAAAAGAAACAAAATTTAAATACCTTAATTGCAGATACGGAATAGTCTGTATAATTTGCCAACCAATCAGCAGGTGTATTTTCGTTTGGTTTCCCATATTTATCTAATTTTCCTTCAATTATCATATGCTTTTTTATGGAAGCTTTGGGTCCCAAACCCCATTTTCTTGGATATGCATCTCTTTCCATTATTACTCTTTTAATTTTAGCAGCTACACCATGATCACAAGTTGTCATTGTAGGAGATGTCATAAGTGCTATAGCTATAACAAAAAAAAATTGCGAATAGAATCTTAAAATATTTATTTAAACGTGAAAATTAAGTGATAAAAATAATAAAAAATTCTATTATTAATTGAATTAGGATTATAAGTAATATATAATTTTTTTTATATTTATACTTACCAAGTGCTATAGCTTCACCTTTTGTAGTCACTATTACAATTTCTTGATTCAATTCAATACCATCATCATACATTAAAATTCCTGGTAACATAATTTTAGCTCCATAACAAATAGCATTTACCTATATTAATATAATTATGTAATATTAATAATTACAAAGAAATATATTTTCTTTTCTTCATAAAAAATATATTTATAGATAATATATTAATACATACTGCACTATCTTTTACAATAATTCTTTTATGATTTATCAAAAGTGCTTCTAATGGTTTAATTACTCTTCTCAAATAAGATTCATCTCCATGGTTTTCATATAACCATTGAGCATCAAGTATATCATGCATAGTAACCATTCCATCATTTTCAGATTGAACACCTGAACGATTTCTACGTAATTCTTGCATTTGACAACCAGTGCCTAAGAAGAGGCCGAGATGAACACAAATAGTTCTAATATATGAACCAGCCTCACAACTAACTCTAAACACTCCCATATTACGTTCTTCATCATAGTCAAGGAACCAACTGTCATAAACTGTTCTCACACGAAGCTGACGCTTCACTGCAGAGATAAGTGGTGGTCGTTGAAAGAGTGCACCACGTAATTTTTCTAATGCTTGACTTACCTATATTAATTTTTTTATTAATAATATTAACTTCTTAATGATAAATATAACATTTTAATTTTAACATAAATATATTTACCTTTTGTAAACTTTCTGGAGCAGAATGTAATTTAAAAACTGCAATATATTCTTTTCCAGCAGATTGTTGTGATTTAGCTAATCTTGTTGCTCTATCAATGCATACTATTAAGCATCCAGATACTTTAGGATCTAAAGTACCAGAATGACCAGTTTTCTCTACTTTCAAAATTCTTTTTATCCATGCAACAACTTCATGTGATGAGGGATTACATGGTTTGTCTAGATTAATGCAACCAGACTTTATATATTCAGATAAAGTACGGTGTAAAGGAGTTGATCCACTAGTTAAAGGTGTAAAATGTTTTGTACGAGTAAGCATTTTGTCAAAATTCTAAAAAAAATATATAGTTTATATTTAATTTTATTTACATAAAAAAATTAATTAAATTATAAAATAGACTAATATATTTTATATCGCATACTTTAAATAAAAGAGGCCAATCCTTGTATTCAAGTTTTACAATTTCATCTGAAGGTTCAAGTTGACATTTCATTGTTGCTTGAATCTCTCCAAGAGATTTCTTTTTGCTTTTTTTTTTACTTTTATCTAAATAACAAAAATATAAATTAACCTATGAAATTATGTTTATTATAAGTATCAACAAATCAAGATTATTCTAAGCATAACAATTATACGTATAAATGAAATAATTTTATATAAAATAAATATATACAATATATTTATTATATTGCAATTAGAACAAAATTTCTAATAGAATTTTTATTAGATACCAAGACACGTGTTTATACCGCTAAATTTTTAATTGATATTTATAACAGAAGATAAATATGTTTTCTCATTTTTGTACATAAATTAAAAACGCTGATTTAAATTAAGAAATACAATATAATAGATATTACATTAAATAACATAATATACGAATAAAATTAATAACAATTACCGCTTTCTGCCATTTTGAAATAAGTAGAAACTACACGTGTACTCTTATGATCCAAGGCGACACCAAACACGCGGGAGCCACTGCATTTAGCGTCCAGCGTACAATATATTTACTTCGTATCATTGGTAATATATAGTTTAGATATGCTACAATACATAAAATTAGAATAGTATTAAAAAGAATATTTTATCTAATCTATTAGAATATTAAATTTTAAATAAAAAAGAAAAAAGAGAGAGAGAATAGAAATAACTTTGATATTAATAATATAGAATAATAAAAATAAAAAATTGTTGGTTATCATAAAATACTTCATTCATATCTATATGTAATATTTTCTATGTATCCATCAGTTATATTTAAATTTGATTATATATTTTCAATTCTTAAAAAAATATCTTTTATACTATATAAAAATATAAAATATAAATATTGTATATTATATCTTACAATTTTGCATATTATGTAAAGAATCTGAATAAATAATAATTTAAATATTTTATATAATTGCTATGAATTTATAGTTGTATTGATATACTAATGTTTTATATTTTGCATAACAAGCATCCACTTTTGAATTGAAAGTTAGTTTACGCGGTAAACTGGGGGTGGGTAAAACCGGTGAAATACAATAAGAACCGAGCAGTGAATATAAAAAATATTCTCATGCCAAAAATCACTGCATCATGTTTGTCGATAACTTAGAAAGAGGATTTTATCGTTTAATAAAAAATGACGTAAGTTATTCTGTTTTAAAAATTTGTTATTTTATTGTTATATAGGTTAAGTTTTTTTTCTATTAAAATATAAAATATAAAATTATAAATACATTTTTAAATTATTCTACAATCTATTTAATTTATTTTTTTTGGATACATTATTATATAATTTATCTTATTTTCAATTGTTTTATGTAATTGAAAATATTAATATAAATTCTTTATTATAGAGATGCCTACTGTTGGTTAATTTTGATGTTGATGCTATTTGTGCCTGTAGAATTTTACAACAATTACTTAAAAATGATAATATGATATATACACTTGTACCTGTTCAAGGTATTCAAGATATGGTTCATGCTTTTGAAGAAAATTGTGAAGATGTAATAAAAATTTAAGAAACACATAAGTACATATATAGTACAGTATATTTCCTTGTATTAAACTTTATTAATATTTAATATTTATTTAGATAAAAAATGTTATTTTTATAAATTGTGGAGGTACATTAGACTTGGTGGATTTATTACAACCTGTAGAATCTGTGATATTTTATGTTCTTGATAGCCATAGGCCTTATGATTTATGTAATGTATATTCAGAAGATCAAGTACGCATACTTGGTAAAATTGATGAAGATGATGAAATTCCAGAATATAATGATATTTTCAAAGATGATTCAGTAATTAATTTGTTTTGATTTTTTATTATTATTAATTTAATTGGATATTGGACAATATATAAATAATAAATATATTGGAAAAACTTTTTTTGCAATTTTTAGTCTGATGAAAGTGAAACAAATGAAGAATTAGACAATGATGAATCTCAAAGAAAAAGACGAAGGTTAAATGAAGAAGATATTATTAAAAGAGCTGGACGAAGAGAGTGGTCTGAGAAAAGAGCAACTATTTTATTTAATTACACGCAATATAGTTACTATGGCAAATCAGTATGGATTATTAAAATATATGAATATAAAATTTTTATAGAATATAAGAATTAAAATATATTTTATATTTCTATAGAGTGCAATGCTTATGTATGAAATGGCATGGAGTATGTCAAAAGATAATCTAGATATGATTTGGTGGGCTATAGTTGGTTGTACAGAACGAACTATTCTTGATAAAATAGAATCAAGATTAAGTATACTCGAAGAAGGTTTTCTTCAAGCCCATGTATCTAGATTATCTCATAAACAAGGAACTGAAGATGATAAACCACAGCAGCAAAGTGCAGTAAAAATTACTTATGATAAAGAGTATCCTTTAGAATTAAATTTTTGTAAAATTTATAGTATATAATGTAATATAAAATTGATGTAATATAATATAATGTGATATAATATAAAATTTATTTCTTTACATAGAAATGTAGTCTTTTACTTGTATTATATCGACATTGGACTGTAGAAGCTAGTTTAAGACATACAGTACCAACTGCAGTGTCATTACGACTTTGGTCTCTTAGAGGAGAACAACGGTTAAAGGAATTATTAGCAGAAATGGGTTTACCCTTAGCACAATCAAAGCAACGATTTTCTGCAATGGATCTTGCACTTAGACAAGAATTGAGACAAATGGTTGAAAAATTAGCAGGAAAATATAAACTAGATACTGTAATTGGGACAAGTTTTACTCTTCAATATGGTTATAAATTTAAATATTGTGCTTCAGATATAGTTTATGCTATGCTTGCTTTAATGGAATCTTCTGTAAGTTTTTAGTACTTACATATCTATGTTAGTTGTTAGTTATTTAATGACTTTTAAAATAACATGTTAGTATATTAACTTTTTTTTAATGTTTCAGTCAAAGGAAAAGTTACCACAACGCTGTTTTTTAGATGCGTCGGATTGTTTATCTCGCACAAAAAAAGATATTTTAGAAAACGGCGTAGAAAAAGCAAAGCTTATGCTTATTAGTATTTTTAAGACTGCACAGGCAATTTTACAAATGAAGCAAATTAAAAGTGCTGGTTCATTTCTTTACATAATTATTTCAGACGGAACTGCTGACAGTCTTGTATTTGCGCATCCATACTCATTGATGATGTTGGCTCAGTTTACCTTAAAGGCTTATGTAGATTCTTCGAAAAATAGACGCGCATCAGAATGGCCACTTGTAGCTTCTTCAATATATAATGCAGAAGAGCGTCTATGTTTTATGGTTGGTATACCTCCAGTGTGTGAAGATCAACCAAGAAGGTAATTATAAATAATTAATTTAAATTCATTATGAAAATATTTTAAAAGAATGTTGAATTATCTTATGATATTTTATAATTATAGTTTATTTGGAAGAGCTTTTGAACAAGCAGCTAAAAATACAAATTGTTATATAGAAGCAGATTATTTTGATACAACAAGTATGTTATACTTTTTTTAATTTTTTATTTTTAAAATATAATTTTAGTAGTAATTTTTAAAAAATTTTTTAAATATTAATATTTTATGTTTCAGTAATAAGACTGAAAATTGAAGAAAGACCAAAATTTTTGGATGCTCTGGCAGCACTTCTAGCTTAAAATTTTAATGATTTATTTGACATATGAAAATTTTTTGAAAATCTTTTGAAAAAAGAATTTTCTTATTATTTATTTTTTAGAAAAATAGTACAAAATAATGATAATGAAATCTTTTTAAAAAATACGACGATGGGATCAATTAAATATGTTTTATTTTTTATGACATTTTTTGTGACATATTGTAACTAATGAATATAAATTAGTAATATTTCTTTTATAACTAGTGACAAATTTAGCTTTAATCATATTGTAGATACGTGTACAAAACAAAATTAATGCTATATGTATTGTGAAATTTTCATTTACTATTATTTCCTTTTTCACGAATTAATTGGTTAAAAAAATATTTTCAATGAAATAAATATGATTCAAATAATAATCAAAATCATCCAGGCTAAAACGTAACATAAGAAATAAAATAACATATAAATTTGTAATATAAATGATATATAATAGGTATAATTTTTTATATAAAAACAAAATTAACTTAAAAAAAAGTATCAATAAATTTATTCAATTTTTTACATTCATTTATTTTTTAATTTGTAAAATAATTTTAATTAAAACATGAAATTAACGATTAGTAATTATACGGAGAATTGAATTAATAACGAATATTTGCTAATTCAAGATATGTTCGACGTGTTCATTTGGCGTTTATTAAGTAATACATTATATAATATATTAACGTGTGCATGTGTGTACACTTAAAAATACAATTCGCTCAGTTTTTATTGACTATGATATATAATACATGTCTTTTGGTTACTTCCACAAAAGGGTGTGCGAATACAAGCGCCATTTTACGCAAGATCCTTCCTACGAAAGGAGCAATGGTATCACAGAGATAGGATTGAGAAGAGAGGATGGGGTTTCTTTTTTTGTGGTTGTATAATGACCACTTAAAAACTTAACTGCTCCTTCCTTCATATGGCTTCCAATATTTTGTATAAAATTGTCAATTGATTTTAAAAAAATTCAAGTAGAAACGTAATCATTTTTACCAGTTTTATGTACCGCGGCTATTTTGTTTATAGGTAATTTGTCATTACGAAATCCATCGACAAATTGTTGTACAGAATCTACAGTTATTTCGGCACCATCCTCCATAACTACATAAACTCCTCGAGGTATATCAATTGCTGTTAAGAGGGGCACAGCATCATCTAAACCGACAAATTCACGAAGAATATCCGACGTTTCACACTACAATAAGAATAATATCCATTAGATTAAGAATAAATATATCTATTATATTTATATAAAATCAATCCTTACATCTAATGCTATATAAAACTGTAAAATATCATCTGGATCATCATAATTTGGATCATAATCAGGTCTATCTTGTCTGTATGCTTGTGCTGCTGGCAATAATACGCTTTCTGCGAATTGAATCTCACAATCTTCACCTTCTGTTAAGATATAATAATGAGGTAAAAAAAATCAATTAGAAAATTTTCTTTTTCACCATTTTGTACATAAAAATTACAAAATAAACTTACCGACAAAAAGAATAATTGCCGGTGCATCGTGCAATGAAGTAGCATATTTTTCAGTTAAAATATTCACCAAACGACTGGTCCACGGAAAATTCTGAAAAATTAAAAAAAATATCACAAAAAGAACGAAATGATAAAATAATCGTAGTCAATTCTGCAAATTTTCACTTACCAGCCCTTCAGGATCTTCGATTAACTCTGCTCGACCATCCAAAGTTATAATATTATCTCGAGGATCAAGTATCACTAAAGTGGGTATTGCTTGTACGTCGAGAGCTCTCGCTAATTTTCGTCGTCTCTCTTCTTGACTAAAAGGTATCCTCAACCAAGGCATCGTTTCAATATAAACGTTATAAGATTCTTCACTCCTATAATATCATAAAAGTCATAAATATTAACTTACAAATACTATACTATAACATAAGATATATTTCATTTTATATTAAAAATAAATAAATAATGTATATATTTTTTAATAATTTACCTATCTGAACTCACGAAAATTACTTCGAAATCGTGACCTCTCTCTCGAATTCGCTGATAGGTATCCACAAGTTGTGGGGTAAATGCTTTACAAGGTGGACACTATAAAACACACAAAAAAAAATATATATATATATATTCCTATACTTTTATACTTTAATGAAGATTCGTTTCAACACGTTAACTATACAATGTTTTTTTTCTATCTTAATAAATAAAATTTATTAATTGAAATTTTTATATATATTCTCTTACATATCTTATATAAGATTTTAATAAATTTTTAACTTGAACAGCATAAGAGATAAAATAGATTGAAATTGCTAATCGATCAATGGCGAAGAAAAACTGGAGCACAAACAGTTTATAATTAGAAAAAATATATACATAAGTGTATATATCAGTTTTCCAATATCCTTGGAAAATTTGTAACAATACGATCGTGTATTATTATACGTATAATACATAAATACATATATACCCAGTGTGCGCTGAAGTAAACACCCTTAAAGCAATGACGCAATTCCTCGTGTAGCATGGGTTCGTTACTATCGCGTGCCCCACATGACAATAAGGGTCCATCCTCGAGTGCAGCTTTCGGATGAGGAGGCTTCCAAGGAAATTCAGCCCCGCTCGGATCGGCGATGGTTCGCTCTACGCCTCCTCTGGTTACCACCGAGCCGTTAGAACCGTCCAATAAAATCAAAGTCGGTACACCGGCCTTTATCCGATACCTCCGAGTCAGTCTGGTCTGTAAAAGAGATACTTGATCGCCTGTAAGAGTATTTCATTGTCGATCGTGAGATCCTTAAAACCTTCTTCATAAATATTCGCGAGAGTTACCGGTTCTTTGTTTTATGTCGTAAGAGATTTATATTCGACGGGTAGCAATAATCTCTGCAGTTTGGTGCCCCGATCAAAGTATGAAATCGAGAACAAAGTATATAATTATATACAGGGTGTCTCAGCTTTTTCTCGCCAAACAGCGAAGAAGTGAGAAACAAATATTATTTAAAAAGTAGAAATCTGTACTATCTAACGTTTATATAATTTTGTTGAAAATTAAGGTTAAATAATATAATTTGATAAAATATATATAATTATTCTATAATTGAAATTTTTAATTGATCATTAAATAAAGAATTAATTGTAATAGAATTGTCTCATTCTATTTATATAAATGTAAATTCTTTTTTTTTTTTTTTTTTTTTTGAAACAAATCAAAAAAAAAAAATTTTAATTTTATAAAAAAAGAAAGAGACTTTTCTTATAATTTTTTTTTTTTTTTTTTTTTTGAAAGAAATCAATAACGAATATATCTAGGACTTTTTTCATTCAGACCACCAAACGTGTTGATAGAAATTATTCACTCTCTAAATATTACTAGATATACATAGATATATGAGTAACGTGAGAACAAAGGATGTCAAAAGCAAATAATTTAAAAAGTTTTATCCTAAACTCGTGTACAAAAAATTGCGTCGAAATACGATACGTTTGGAACGCTATCTCGCTCTCCCGGCAAAACAACATTATAGATAATTAATAAAAGAGGGAAAACTCTACGTGCCAACGTGTTTTTAACTAGAACTTTCTTGCCATTCAATAATCGTAAATTACACTAATCAAAGCCATAATGCAATTCCCATCAATGTTTTACATCGCATGATTTTACAAAAGATCGTGTTCCGTCATGTAAATCGCCGTTTGAATTCAGCTCGCACAGCGCGTGAGTATTGGCTACGAGTTAAAAAAAGAAAGACAGAGAGAGAGAGAGAGAGAAAGGGGGAAGAAGAAGAGAGAGATCGAAACCCATCAATTTCAGGAAGCGTGAGAGGAATAACGCGAACGGCGATAAAGCGAACGGAGCAACGCGTGTGTGCACGTTCAAGAAATTCGTAACACGCAGCGCCCTCCTCTGTTTCTTTCGTTATCCTTCTAGCACGCAACGAAATTCAAGCACGGCGAAAAAGGGCGCAACGAGTGTCTACAGGGGAGTAATGTCTGCTGACAATGAGTGCTATCCCTTCTACCCCAGCACTGCATGATTACAGTACTACAAGAAGCAAAAAAGGGAAGGGAGTGGAAGGGAGATGGAGGAAAAGGGCTTGAGCATGATAGCAGAAACTGGTTGAAAGTTTTTCAAGCCGAAAAAGATAAGAAAAGATGTACAAGAAAAAAATGTATACACAAGGATAATCCGGACGATATGTCAGATTTTCGTTTCTTTCTGAATAAGTAATAGTCAACACTTTCATTGCTATGCGTGAATCGAGAAAAATATTGGCAATTTTTTTCTTTCGTTTTTTTCTTTTTTTTTAAAAAAAAGAAGATGTCTACATTTTGATGGTACACAAAGGTTAGTGAACGGAGTTCCGTTGATAATAAGGATTGTCGGTCTCTTCTAGCAGACTGCACGATTGTAGTAGCATCAACCGTGAAAACAGAGATGATAAGAAAGCGAAAGAGAAGCTCCTGCTTCAGTGGTGATAAAGGAGGATAGCTATCTCGAAAGCTACAGACCTCAGTGGAAATTCTTTTGTGAATTCTGAAATAGGCGGCAGCTGTAACTATTTTCTTCAGCTGTGCTGTTCTGAATTTCTTGTACTTTGAAATGAACTAGTGTAATGAAGAAGATGCTTTTGATGTTATTTTTTTAATTTAATTTAGAGATTACTAAATTTCGTATTATATTTTTTTGTAAAGAAAATATATTCGATAATCTTATTAAATTGTTAGAGATTTATATATACAATATTATAAAATATAAATAAATAAATAACATAATCCTTAAAATATATTCGAAACAAATTCATCGATTTTTGAGATCATAAAACGTGCATTGACCGATCTCAATGGAAAAAAACTTACATAGTTCTCTTAGAAAGATGATCGATCACAATGTTCGTTAGCATTGAATACCGATTCCCGTTAAGCTGTCTGATTACAAGAGAACAAAAGGAGCAGACGAGATCGAAGCACAATGGACATATTGCAGAAGGCTTTTATACCAGACTAGATAATGAAGAACAGTCTAAGAGATGATATAATTTTCAATCATTTCAGATTTTTTGATGACGAATAATTCGTTCATGTCATCGCTCTCATATAATCTCATGTCATCGTTTCTCATATAATTATTCCTTTTACTTTTTATTATTACCCCCCCGCCCTTATTACCCTCTCTATTTATATCGTTCGATTTCTAAAAATATTATAAATATCATTGATTTCATAATCAATAAATTTTGACAACTTTGTCATTTAAAAATGTTTAAAAAATTCAACAGAAACAACATTCTTAGAATTCATTCAATCC